AATAACTTACACCTAAACACAAATATTCAGTACAATCCAGAAACATGTTATCTAAAAACAACAACGATTTGGAATAACTTACACCTAAACACAAATATTCAGTACAATCCAGAAACATGTTATCTAAAAACAACAACGATTTAGAATAACTTACACCTAAACACAAATATTCTGTACAATCCAGAAACATGTTATCTAAAAACAACGATTTAGAATAACTTACACCTAAACACAAATATTCAGTACAATCCAGAAACATGTTATCTAAAAACAACAACGATTTAGACTAACTTACACCTAAACACAAATATTCAGTACAATCCAGAAATATGTCATCTAAAAACAACAACAATTTAGAATAACTTACACCTAAACACAAATATTCAGTAAAATCACACAAAAATTATTTAAACCATTTGAAGCTTTGTACTATCGGTTTCAGTTTGTGTTTTAGTGAATGCTCCTGAAGAAGTTGTAAAGCTAAATGTTGAGTGTTTAATTAAATAAAAACAATATTTTGGTGTTATTAGGTCATTTATTTCTTGTTATTAAGTATCACTTACACTTAAGTATGTTCATGATCTCAGAAAAACATGTAGGTTCAAGAAGTCTTTTAATATAATATGATAAAAATCTTTTACTCCAGCACTTTCAGTAAGTGGACCTTTCTTCTTCAAGGGTAAACTGGGAATGTTTACTCCTGAATTAGAAAGATCCACCTTTCAAAAGTGCTTGGGTTATAGGGTTTCTATCATTTCTATTCACACTTTGAAGTCATTTTAGAAAGAAAAAAAGGTAATTTGGATTTATTCTTTGGTGGTTACAAGGTCAGTCAAATTGACCAAACTTGTATAGAGTTAGGGTAAGGAAAATAACAGATAAATTAAAGTTTTATTGGAAACAAACATCTGAAATGTATTTAGGAGGTTTTAGAGATTACACAAATGATTTTTGAGATGAAAAAAAGTATTTCTAATCTTAACATGAAAATCACTTTGCACATGGACAAATACAAAAAATAATCAATATATACACGGACAAATCTTAAATTAGTTTATTAAAAATACTTCACTAAAAAAATATAATTTTTTGTATGTGAAAGACTTGTAATGTTTACTGAAAGTGTGCCAAATTTTGTGATATAAATATATACACATATTATATTAAAAGTTAGTAGTATCAAAACTACAGACTTTAAACGAGTAAAAAGAGGTCATATGGTCAAACTCAATGGAGCCCATGTTGAGAGATTTGTACAGTATTAAAGATCAGATTTCTTTCCAAAGGCTGGAAATACTGATTTATAGTGATACAGATCAGCTTTCTTTCCAAAGGCTGGAAATACTGATTTATAGTATTACAGATCAGCTTTCTTTCCAAAGGCTGGAAATACTGATTTATAGCAATACAGATCAGCTTTCTTTCCAAAGGCTGGAAATACTGATTTATAGTGATACAGATCAGCTTTCTTTCCAAAGGCTGGAAATACTGATTTATAGTATTACAGATCAGCTTTCTTTCCAAAGGCTGGAAATACTGATTTATAGTATTACAGATCAGCTTTCTTTCCAAAGGCTGGAAATACTGATTTGTAGTATTACAGATCAGACTTCTTTCCAAAGGCTGGAAATACTGATTTATAGTATTACAGATCAGATTTCTTTCCAAAGGCTGGAAATACTGATTTATAGTATTAGAGATCAGACTTCTTTCCAAAGGCTGGAAATACTGATTTATAGTATTACAGATCAGACTTCTTTCCAAAGGCTGGAAATACTGATTTATAGTATTACAGATCAGATTTTATTCCAAAGGCTGGAAATACTGATTTATAGTATTAGAGATCAGACTTCTTTCCAAAGGCTGGAAATACTGATTTATAGTATTACAGATCAGATTTC